GTCTTATTGATTTCTAACAACTCAGTGATCTGGAATCCTCATTTCAGAAGAGAGTTATTTGATTGGGAAATAGAAGGTGTGATGCAGCTTCTGCAGATTTTATAGGAGTADACGATAGACATTGCASGTGAAGACGAATGGAGCTGGTCCTGGAGTACGGATGGTTGTTTCTAAGTCAAATCCCTTACTTTGAAGCTTAGTAGTACGGGGGTTACTGAGTTCCCCTACCAGAAAGTATGGAAGTCTTGTGCTCCCTTGAAGTCTATATTCCTTGTATGGACTATGGTGCTGAACAAATGTCTCTCAAGACTCAACCTGGACAGAAGGGGTATTCAGCTCCCTTCTCTGATGTGTGGGTTGTATGGCTTATTGCCTGAGTCCACAGACCATTTGTGCTTACATTGTCCTATCTCTTTGAGAGTCTGGTACCATTTCATAGGTGTGGCTGGTCTTAATGGGTCGTGCCAAATTCAGTGAAAGACCTGCTGCTTTGTTGGAATCTCCAAGGTTTGAAGAGAAAAGCAAGTTTAATTTGGAGAACTATTCCTGCGGCAGTGATGTGGGTAATATGGTCTGAAAGGAATAGAAGAATCTTCAGCAACAAAGCTAAGAGCACTGAGGAGATAGTGCAGCAGGTGGTCAGCAAGCTGATTTCTTGTGTCTGTTACACCTGATTTTAAATAGCTGAATGTTCCTGAATTAGTTAGATCTATATCCATTTGGGATATGTAACAAGTCCTGTAATCTGAGCAGCTACTTGTGGCTTGCTCTTCTATTGTACTGAGTTCTTTCTGATTCAATAAATTTATCACTTTACCTTTCAAAACAAAAAAAGAATGAATTCAGGCATTTCAAGCAGGTTTCTAAAGATATGAAAATCCAAATAAAGTGGATTAGGAGATCTGCAAACAGTATGGCAGATGGGTTAGCTAAACATGGAATTCAGAGACAGTCCATGTTTTGGGCTGTTCTGTAAATATTGATAGTGATTTTGGGCTTGCTCTTTGCCCAGTACTCATTTTTATAATTAATAAATCTTTTCTTGTTGCTGATAAAAAAAATGATTGGATGGATAAGAAGATCTACCTAGTAAAATGGAGTCATATGTGTAGACCAAAGGAGCTTGGAGTTTCAGTCTCAAGGAGAATTAGTGAAATGAACAAATCACTATTAAGGAAGTCTGTGGAGGTTCAGGATTAAAAATGAGGCTTTATGCAGAACAGTTATTGCATCCTAATATGATCTGGTAAGGCTGGGAAGGGACTCTAGGGAAGTTTTACCAGGTAAGTGGTTGCAGTTTGGAAGGAGATTATGCATTTTCAGCAAGTGTTCATTAACTTGGCTGGGTTCAAAGTTGGAGACGGTTCCAGAATTTATTTTTGGGATAAGAGTAGGGCCGGCAGATTGTGCCCTCTGCCCCATGTCTGTACAAGTTAAGAGAAAACAATGTTACTATAAAGGAGTACTTTGAAGACAGAGAAGTGGAAGAATGTTTATTGTCACTTTAAAAACTAGAAAAAGAAATTTTTCCAAATGTTCCAGATGCTACATGGTGGAAGAAAGGTAGGAAGGTAATTTGATAGTAAAGTTTTTTTGAAAACCAATGAAATATTTCTATAACAAATTTATTTGTAACCGGGTGGATATATCTGAAAACAACGGTATTTGGGGTAACATAATAATGCGTAGGGTAGAAGCCTCACTTGGTTTGTTGCTATGACAGGTGTTCTAACCGTAGATCAGCTGAAAAGGAGATTCCAATCCAAGTATAAGCTATTTATGTCACAGCAATGAAGAAGATGCTAATTATATTTTCATCACATGAAGCTACACTAAATTTATTGGAGCTTTTTCTTCTCTTTATTCGAGAGAAACGTTTGGCGACCTGTCAATGCAAAAAACCTTTTTGCTACACGGCCAAGAAAACAGGGATACTATAAAGCTAGAGTATCTGGAGTTGTACTCCTTTTATGGTAGTACAGTGTCTGGAAGGAAAGAAACAATAGAATCTTCAGTAATGTTCAGAAGAATCGAGAAAGAATGTGTTCTTCAACTGGAAGCCTGAAATTGGACTCGGTTCTAGTACATCTAGAATTTGCAGATGTTCAAAGAAATATGTTCAGAGCTTCTTTTTGGGCAACTCTTGAGTTGTAACACAAGTATGTATAGCCGGATCATGATTATTTTTTGTAATGCTCAGGATATTTTATCAGTCTTAAATTATATCTCATCACCTTTACACAACTCTTGTACTCTATAATTCTTTTATTAAAAATATTTATATTTTACTATAAAAAAATTCCTCTCCATCAAAGTAACAGCAATTATAACCTTGATACCTTCATTAAGTTGAAGACCCCAGACAAATTCTTCCATCTCAGTGAAGACAACCTTGTTTTCCTGTGGCTCTCCAGATGTCAAGTTTTCTTCATCCTTAGGTTGATTGCTTACAGTACTAGCCAGGAGTGCAACTGCTTGAGGACCAGATGCTGCTGCTTCATTCTGCGTTTTTAGAGCTAACTTTCTTGCTTTTTCTAGTGATTTGTAAAGGTCTTCTTCATCATCACCAAAAACAGGACTTTCGTTTTCCTCAACTTGAACAGTTAGAGTCTGTTCCTGTCGCAATGTTTTAGATGCCTCTTCCGCTTTAGCAAAAGCTGACTGGTAAGCATTACTCCTCATTTCCGCCTCAGATCTCTCTTGCTGTTCTTTGGTAGCCTGCCTCTGTCCATCTTTCCTGGATCCTAGATCCCCCACACCAAAACCAGCTGAAATGGCTTCAGCTTCAAGGGCATCTAAATCTAGCTTTACTTTTTTCCGCAAAGATTTCTTTTTCTTTGGCTTTTTAAACTGAAGCATTTCTTCGTGGGTATAAAAATCGGATGTAATCTTTGCAGATGAGTTAAGGTCTTCAAAATGGTTGCTTGCAGAAACACCCTGTAACCTCTTACGAAGCTGGCATAGAAAAAGAAATGACAGTTATTAGCAGGAAAAAAATAACCAATAATATTTCTTGTAACCACAATTTAAAATGAAGAACAGAAACTTTAAAGTCACCTCTTCTAACTTCTTTTCTGCTTCACCCGCAAAGCGTCCACTTTCATCCAAAACTAACCCCTGAAAAGAAATCAATGGTATGAAACAAAGGTAATATGGGAGAGATACCCTTTATCAACATATCTATCCATTCTATAAGAAAATGCTAACCTCATCTTCAACAGGATCATCATACTGTGGGAGAATTTTCTTTTGGGCACCATCCTCCCCACTGAACCTAGAAAATAAACAATAAAACAATGATTAGCTACCTAAAGTGAATATGTGAGATGCTATCTTGATCAATGATCATACTTGTCTTCGTATATTCCTGTCTTTTTCTTTGCAGCCTTATAAGCTGCATCTCTTTGCTTCTGCTCTCCAATCTCCACATTTTCAAGAACATCAGCCTCTGTTACATCACAAGTTTCAAGTCACCTTTAGGGAAACTGGAAGTCCTAAAACAGTACCAAAAAAGCAGACCCAAGCTTTAGTTACCTTCATTGACATCATCATTGGCAAGGATATTCTGATCTTTGAGAGTCAAAACAACTGCTCCACCTTCAATTACTTTATCAATCCCATGAAGAATTTTAACTCCAGCTAGATCCTCTGTTAGAAGGTGTCAAAAAAACATAATCAAATCAATCTGCTAAATCCCAAGCAAAGCAATATTAGTAACTAATCATCCTTTTTTTATGAATAATATTAGTAAATAGTAACTAATCATCATTCTCCTTACTCTTAACATTTTTTTATTGAAAACGGTAACTTTCATTAAGAATATTAGATAAAACATCTTACACTGTCAACCACTCAGACAAAGAGTGTTGACCCCAAAATAACATCAAGAATTACAATACAGCCCAAAAAATTTTCCCTGAAGGTCCCCTGTTTTGCCAAGCCATCTGCCACAGAGTTTTCCAATCTCCTTACCCATTTGAATGTTACTCCAACTTCCTTTGCCAAGCAGATAATTTCCCTCATTTGCTGTTGAAACTTCCATACACCCAAACTCTTTGTTTGCAGCCACCCTATTAACAATTTAGAGTCTCCTTCCACCTCCAAGTTCTGAAACTCCCATTGCTTGGCAAATCTCAGGCCTTATAGGAGAGCCAAAATTTCAGCTCTCAAAGAGTCTCCCACTCTTATGAGACCAGAGTATAGTGCTGCCATTCTGCCCTCCCCATCCCTAAAGACTCCCCCAGCTCCTGAGGGTCCTGGATTACCCAAGGAGCTTCCATCAAAATTCAATTTTACCCTTTGTTGTGCTCCTGGTGTCCAAGAGGGCTGAAAGATTGGTTGTCTGGTTGAAGAGTTTGCCACTACTGACCAGCCCCTTTGTATATCATCCACTACTGACCAGCCCAATGTATGACTTTAATGACTATTATGGACACTTTACTGGTGTCTAAGAGGGCTGAATGATTTGTTCTGTTGATCTTTGTGCCCCTTGGAATATTCTGTTGTTCCTTTCTTCCCATAAAGACCAAAAGAATGGCTGCTCTTGTTGCTCTCCACATCACTCTTCCCCTTTTCTTTGGAAGTCAGAAAAAACTTGGATTGAAAAGACTTGTCACATCCGGGGGAGTAGTCCACCTGCAGCCAAATAAGGAAGAAAACCAATCCCAAACACGATGCAAAGGGACAAGAAAGTAAAAGATGTAATACTGTCTCACCATTTCCCATACAAAGGCAACAAACATGAGGGGAGAAACACTGATTTGACGTTCTTTTTTGTAAATTATCAAGAGTATTAATCTACTGAAGCACCACCTCCCAACAAAAGGCTCTTACTTTTGGGGGTACAGGACTACACCAGACTTCCTTTGTGGGAAAAGAACCTCCTGGGTGTGAGGAAAGCAGGGCGAAGAAGTAGGAGGCACAAGTATAGGAGCCAGAGGGGGACTCTAACCAGATCTTGCTGTCATGACAAGATAGGTCCAGGAAAACAGTATTAAGAAGTGAGATTAGTTCAGCTACTAAGCACAATTCATGATCCCTCAACCCTCTTCTTAAACCTAGATCCCAAGAATTTTCATTAACAAGCACTGAAGAAATCACTTTCCTTTTGTTGAGGGACAGAGCATAAATAGGTGGAAATCTATCTTTGAGAGGAATGTCCCCAAGCCAGATGTCCTCCCAGAAACGAATTTTATTACCCAAACAAGCATCATACTTGACCAGCGGGAGGAAAGAAGGTAGCAATCTGTGAATTTCTTTCCATGGAGAAGCCCTTGTTGCCCTAGGATCAAGACCAGCGCCCCATCCGTTGTCTGCCATGCTATGAATGCTTACAATTACATTATGCCTTACGTTCTTTTGTTCCAAAGGAAACACCCACAACCATTTACCCAGTAAAGCCATGTTTCTAAGCTTGATGTTTCCTAACCCTTGGCCTCCACTATCCCTACTCCTTGAGACCACCTCCCACTTCACCAAATGGTCCTCTTTTGTATCCCCTGGCTCCCACAAGAAGTCTCATCAATTTCTCCAGTTTATTGGCCACTTTTATGGGGATCTTAAAGGTTTAGAGGTAATAGATTGGCAGATTACTAAAAGTTGACTTTATTAGGGTTATTCTACCCCCTAGAGATATATAGTTTTTCTTCCATCCAGCAAGCCTTTTTGTGAATCTTTCCACTACCAGATCCCAGAAGCTAACTGAAGTCAGGTTCCCCCCCCCCCGAAGGGTAGTCCAAGGTACGATAGAGGCCAATCACCTACCTCACAACTCAGCAAACTAGCTAGGCTTTCAACCTCTCTTCTCTTCCTATTTAATCCCGCTACACAACTTCTGCTCCAGTTTACTTTGAGATTGGAAATCCTTTCAAAATGGGTTACCATCCTTTGCAAAATGTTCATTTCCTCCCTTTCTCCTTCGTAAAAGATTAGAATATCATCTGCAAATTGTAAATGGGTAACCACCACATTATTCCTCCCAATTCTCCAACCTTGTATCAGATTATTGGTATTAGCCCTTGAAATCGAATCGCTAAACACATCTGCTATTAGAGTGAAGGGGAAAGAGGAAAGGGGGTCACCTTGTCGAAGGCCCCTTTTAGTTGGAAAGAAATCTCTAGCAACTCCATTAACCAAAATGGAATAGTGACAGGAGGAAACACAACCCTTTATCCATTTGCACCATCTCGCTCCAAAACCTCTCAACCTTAGCAGTTCTAGAAAGAAATCCCAATCCACCAAGTCATAGGCTTTTTCTAGATCTAATTTGCAAACTAGCCCTTTTTCCTTTCTCCATTTTTTAAACTCCACACACTCGTTTGTAATAAGGATTTGATCTATTATTTGTCTTCCAAACACAAAAGCCCCTTGATTTGGAGAGATTAAGGAGGGAAGAACTATTTTAATCCTCTCAGCTAACACCTTGGAGACAATTTTGTATATGCTACCCACAAGGCTGATGGATCTAAGATCTCTTAGGTGGGAGGCATCTAAGGTCTTAAGGATCAAAGTGATAAAGGTGGCATTTGCCCCTAAGTTGTATTTTCCCCTTTCAAAGAATTCAGTAAAAACCTCCACTAAATCAACACCCACAATTTCCCAGCAATCTTGAAAGAAAGCAATCGTGAAGCCATCTAGGCCTAGGGATTTGGATCTTTCCATAGAGAATATAGCTTCCTTTATTTCTTGAACTTCAAAATCCTTTTCCAGGGTTACCATTAACTCCCTAGGACTTCGCCTCTAGTCAAAATTTTCTAGTGGCTCTCTGGTAGCTCCCTGATTAGTAAAAATGCCTTTAAAGTGATCCACAAAAGCTTGTGCTATCTCCCTAGTTAAAGTCTGCCCATTCCACACTAACTAAGCAATAGAGTTACTTCTTTTTCTCCCATTTGCTACTAAGTGGAAAAAGCTTGTATTGCCATCACCTTCCTTTAACCACTGACATCTAGATTTCTGTCTCCAACGAATCTCCTCTTTCCTTAGAATCTCTTCCAGCTCATGCTTTAGTCTCCATCTCTCAGATTTCTCTTCCTCTCTTATTGTCCTTTCCCCTTCCAGCTCATCTAATTCCCCTATTCTATGTGAGAGGTGCATCTTTCTTTCCTCCAACGACCCAAATACTTCCTTATTCCACTCTTTAATCCTACCCTTCAACCTTTGTAGTTTTTTTGTAAAATCTAAAACCTTTCTGTCTAAACTCCACTTGATCTTCTTCCCACCATTCTTTTACTTTTGATTTGAAATCCAGATGCAACAGCCACATGTTCTCAACCCTAAAAGGGCAGGCACCTCCTCCCAATCTTTCTTCAGAGATGCTAATAGGATAGTGATCCGAAGTAGTTCTAGAAAAGGCTCTAAGCACTAGACTCCGCCACCCTTCCTCCCAGTCTAAAGAAAAGATAAATCTGTCGAGCTTGCAACAAATAGGTGTCTCTTGAAAATTGGACCATGTGAACTTTGCTTGAAGAAGGGGTAGCTCTCTCAGATCATTTGTATCTACAAAAAGGTCAAATTTTCTCATATCGGAAGTAATCCTATGGCTAGGATTATTTGTATCTACAAAAAGGTTAAATTTACTCTTAATATTGTGACTTATAAGATGCAAAAGAGATAGTCTAAGGTATTTGATGGAGCTAGATGATGGCTCAACCATAACTACTGGCTCATTGCTCATATAGTAAACATTCCAACTACTGAGCCATAAAACAAGTACCCAGGGTGTATTTGCTAAAGTATGGACCTTAGTCCAACATAGCACTGCTAGAAAGAGACTACCTACAACATGTTAAACATAACATCTGGAATATAAATAATCAATCTACAAAGTGAATAAATAAATGAAAACAAAAAGGAACATTACTGGAGGTGTGTCGAGCCGTATCCTCATCTTCACTTTCCCCTTGGTCAATCTTGTCCTGGGGAAGAGCCATGTCATAAATCAAATATGAACAGCACAACAAACATGGGAATCATGAAAAAGGTATCAAACCAAGGAAAGCATCATAAAGAAAGGAAGCATAAAACCACAAACTGACCTGCTCCTCAAAAACCTTAGAGAGCTGCAAGGCTTTCTGCTTTTCAGCATTCCTTTTCTCCTCCAACTTGCGGCTCTTGTTAACCCATGATAAAACCTCAGATACACCTTCAGACTTTTTCTTCGATCTTTCTTCCCTCATTCTGTTGCAAGAGAAATCAAAATCAAATAAAGATAGAAATGCTTCTTCAAACTTCCATAAAGTTAATAACACTAAACAAAACAACCAAATAAATATTAGGAATAATGGACAAATATCAAATTTCTTGCATGATCAAATGGGGAAAAATATACTGATTCATCATAAAAGCAGCAGACAATTTAAAATATGCTCTTTTAGCCCTTACCCATTGAGATATAAAGCGAGATTGAAGAACTACCCTATCAAATACAGCCATAAACTTTAAATCGAGGCTGTATCTCAACGTAAACAAATATAGTATGCAACTAAGAAAGATGAATATTTCTTTTCAAAAAATGTAAACAAATATATGCAGTTTTCTACCGGTATATATTTTTTCAATCACATTCTTCAATTTTTTTATTTTCAAAAAATGTGCGCCTTGCTTCATAAAAGCACATGCCTCAACTTGTACCTTGTGCCTCGGATGCAAGATGGCCCTTCCGCTTTTTTTTTTTGCACCTTGCACTTTGAAAGCACTAATCCTAACAAGCCCCAAAATAAAAAAATAGACAACAACCTCTCTTGTTACGAACTTGCAATGTAAATCCCCATGTTCTGCTGTTACAAGAGTAGCTAGGCATCCACTAAATCTTCCCCTCAAACAGAAACCTTAATCAACAGATAAAATGAGGATGGTTTCTGAAGCATGTTCTCTTTTCAGGTTGGAAACAAAGGTTTGCAGAGAGGGAGAAGAAACAAAAAATGAAAGAGACAATATGAAAAGAGAAAAGGCCAAGTTGAGACGCTGGGGGGGGATGGGGGAGGAAGGAATGTGCTACTACAGATTTTGAGTAAGGAGAAGGCTTGTATGTGTGGTAGGTATTAATCTTCCACTCCCTTTCAGTGGAAAGATTGACCATTAACAAATAACAAAAAAGCAGGTCAGTAGCACAGTACTTGAACAAAGGCTTGGGTTTTGTTTCTACTTCTGAAGTGCTCAATTGGAGAGAAGCAATAGCCATACAACATGGTTTTATTTGTGTCCTTAGTGATCAAAAGGATAAAAAGAAGCTTAGCACTTAATGCAAATTCCTAAAAGGTATAAAAAGGTTTACATATATAGAAAACAAGGCAATTATCCTGTCAAATTGGAAATATTATGTTATTATGAGATCTAATCAGGTATATGCGATTTCAATCTGATAAGTAAAAAATTCTGTTTGCTGATCCAAAATTAATTCATTTAATGATATTGGGTATCTGGATCCAATTTAAATGGATCGGATTCAAAAAGGATCAAATCAATGCTATTTTGCAGCCCTAAACATAGCCACTTAGCCAATAAAACCTCACTGATTTTTTATCAATGGATTGTATCTCTTTTCTTATTGGAAACGGTAACTTTCATTAAAGATATCAATTAAACATAATACACTGTCAACCACTCAAAATACGAGTGTTGACCCCAATCAGCTTCAAGAATTACAAAACTGCCCAAAAGAAATTATCCCTGAAGGTCCCCTGCTTTCTGCCTCAAAGTTGGTTGACCTCCTTACCCATTTGAAAGTTACTCTAGCATCCCTTGCCAAGCAGACTATTTCCCTTATTTGTTGTTTAAAAGTCCATACACCCAACATTCTTGTCTGCAGCCACCCTATTAGCAATTTAGAATCCTCTTCCACTTCAAAGTTCTGAAATCCCCATTGCTTGGCAAATCTCAGGCCTTGTAGGAGAGCCAAAATTTCAGCTCTCAGAGAGTCTCCCACTCCTATGGGACTAGAATATAGTGCCACCATTCTGCCCTCCCCATCCCTGAAAACTCCCCCAGCTCCAGAGGGTCCTAGATTACCCAAAGAGATTCCGTCAAAGTTTAATTTTACCCTTTGTTGCGTCTCTTCAACTTGAGAAAAAGAAACCAGGATATCAAACTCTAGTAAACTTAATTGAAAGAGACTTAAACTTCTTGTATTTAACTTTATCCATGTCTTTGGTGTAACTAACGAGCTTGAAATTCATTTCTGTAAGATCAGATAGATATACAAGTTATAAAATATATAAAGTATTAATTCTCAGCTTGGTTTTTCTTCGAATTCACTAATAAGATTGAGTGTTTACCAACAAAATAATTACCACTATGGACATGCAAACCAACAATTCAAAACAGGTGATGGTTTAATAATCAAAAGCATGTATAACCAGGAAAAGAAATGATATATTCATCTCAAAATCTCTAAGTTATGCATACGAAGTCAATAAGTCAGTAATTGACAGTAAAAATGGTCCAATAGCAAACAGTGAAATAGCAACTCTTATAAAAAAATAATGATAGTGCAACAACAAAAAACATCAGCACAAGATAGATGAAGGAACCAATAGTGGAATGCCTACTTACTTTAATATGCGCTCTTCAAGCTCCCCAGTTGATGGCTGTGAACCACCCATTGCCCCATCTACCTTTTTCTTATTCTCGACACTCATGTCAACAACCACATCATGTTGAACTTCCTTCACTTGCTTTACAACATCCCTATCATTCCCACCATCCAGGTCCAGCTTCTCATCTTTCCCAACATCCTTACCCCTACCTTGACTTTCATCATCCAATTTCCCATTCCTTGCATCTCTTTCTTTATCTTTAGATCTCTCCTTATCCTTCTCCTTACTCTTGTCCCTCTCAAGTTTTTCCCTGTCTTTAACCTTTTCCCTTTCTCTATCCTTGTGTTTCTCCCTTTCCTTCTCTCTGTCTCGGTCTTTTGATCCATCCCGATCCTTCTCCCTCTCCCTACCCCGTTCCTTCTCTTTCTCCCTATCCCTATCTTTTTCCTTTTCCTTTTCCCTCTCTCTTTCTAGTCCCCGGTCATGTTCCTTCACTCTCTCCCTCGCCTTCTCTTCCCTGCGGCTCTTCTTCCTATCCTTGCTCCGATGCTTGCTTGACTCCCCTGGTTTCTCAGTCCCGTTTCTTTCAACATCGTCCCATTCTTCATCCTTGTAATCTACTACTCTATGAGAATCATTTTCCAGCCTAGATTCTGACCCATCCAAATCCATTACCATTTGAGCTACAACCTAATTCAACTAGCAGAAATCTCGTAAACCCTAAACTGTGTTGCCCCAATTATTTTGATCAAATCCGAAGGAGTGATTGAGGTGGCACCTGGCACAAGAGAGAAAAATGATCAGTGCTTCAGAAAATCCCCTCTACGACAAAAAACTAAAGGCCCCGTTCGCTTAGGCCCTGTTTGTCATCAATTCTAGAGATTCTCATTCTCAGAATCCTTTCAGAAAATAATGGATTTTGAGAATTTTCATTTAGAGAATCGTCAAATTGTGTTTGGGACAGTGATCTGTTTCTTGTTTCTCAGAAACAGAATCGCGTTCGGCAGCAACCAATTTCTGGAATCAATTCTCTAGATACTAAAGCTTATGAAACTCTTAAATTTAATTTATGTGCAACTCTCAAATACTAGTAAAGAACAAGTATTTGAGGAAGGAGTTCTACTCACAATATTTGCAATTTAGTTAAGCTGGTGAGAAATGTTGGCAGGGAACTTTAAGTAATTTTTATCCAACTTCCTACAGAAAGATTAATTACACTTATTAGCAGTAGTAGAAAAATTGCTTAAGTAACTGCATGTTAACACTTCACTTAATGAGTGGATTTAAGACTTTCTCGCATTATTCTGCAGAGGCCATATCACAATTTTGTGTCAATCCTCAGCTACCAAAGCCTTGCACTTATGTACGGATAATAACACTAAAAGAAGACATTGTTAATTAGCATGATAGCCAAAAACGCCCTTTTTCTAGAATGAAATGCAGCTCTGTTACAATAGACGATGCCCTTTCCATTCAAGCAGAGATTGAAGATAGAACTTCACCCTCTTCCTTAGATTAAAGAGCATAATAATCAAATATGGAATATGATTTGGCAAGAAAATATGGTTCATGTTAAGAGGACATTTTGAGCATATTTAAAAATTTCAATTCAATTCAAACACATGGAATTCTTATGAAAAGAAAAGAGAAAACAGAATTTAAAGAAGTAAAATTAAAAATGGCTTATAGAAGAGAGAAGAAAGAAAACGTAAATGAAATTCTTATCAACAAATCATCCATATCCTGAGAACAATTCACTATGCAAAGGAAATCCACAAACCCTTGAAACCCAAAGGGCCGAAACATGCAAGTGGTCCAGAGAAGGGATCTAAATCAAATGAGCACTAGCTTACTTACTCAACTCACCAAAAATTAATTATAGTTACCAGAGTAAACATTTAAAGTCCTCAATGAAATAAATAAAAACCCTCAAGCATAAACAAGTGAAATTTCTTAGCTGGGATTTAAAACCCTCAAAACTGTTTAAAGGTGTAATCCTCCGTCACATTAGAAAGAAAGTATGAGAGAAATTGTACCTAAATCAGGACGAACTGAAAAGATAGAAAAACAAAACAATTACATGAAACAGGACGAATCAAATTGAAGCGCAAATCAAACGACACTTTAGCTAATTTGAGGTATATGTAAATACGCAAGCATGAGGGGCAAACCGTTGGGAGAGCAGAACAGGCTTTCCTTGCAACAAGAACAAACTATTGCAGAGCTGGGTTTCTTTATCGAAAACGACGACAACAACGAAGAATGAAATACCTAGAGCTTGAAGAGAGGCAGAAGTCTATATCGTAAAGAGCGGGAAAAGAAGTAAGAAGAAGAAAACCTGTTTAGGGATTTACAGAGGGAAACGAAATGGAGAATAAAACATGGAATTTCGAACTTAGATCCATGAGAAGCAATCAATCGAAGCTTTAGAAAAAATGGCGGTTTGAGTGAAGACATTTACCTGATGTTTGAGCGATATTTACCTGAGGTTTGAGCGAAGATAACCGTTGAGTGAGAGGAAGAAGACGGCTCGGTGCAAACTGGGGGACTTTTTAACGACGCTAATGTATTTTGTGACAAATTTACTGTCCTCTCACGTGGCTTCCTGTCGCTCGTGTTCGTTATTTGGAGATGGGAAAATTACCGATCAGAGTACTCTAGTTTGGCTCGAGTGATAATTTAGTTCTCGAACTTTAAAATGCCATAAACTGGTATTATTTATAGTTAATCAGTCATTAAGTGGCATATGAAAAGATACAAATGCCCTTTAAATGTTATCTAATTTTTTTTATCCAACATGTACTGATTGATTTCTGATGATGGGTGATTTGGCCCGACCTAGTAGTCCGGGGACACGTGTATATGACCTGGCCCAGTGAACAGCTCAGCCTAACAGCACGACTGCAACTCGACGGGAGAGACACGCCGAGTCCAACGCTGGCCACTCGGCGAGTTAAGCAACTCACTGGGGACTGACGCCTAGCCAATTTTGACTCCCACCAAGTGTGGAAGGTCTTGAGCTCTCCCAGGGGCCCGAGCTCCCCCTAAGGGGCCCGGAGCTCTCCCTTCCCAAAGAGGAAGCACCCTCGCTCGTGGCTAAGTGTCCTGAGCACCTCGGGGCAGCACCGTCCCCCCTCCCCCTAGTGCAGGCACCTCGGCACCTCGATACAGGGACAAACCTGCCCCAGACAGTCCGGTGTGCGGTAGCTTGGTAGGCTGTGGGGAGCCCTGTCTGACATCCGGACCCGGTGGCAGGGCTCTGATCCCTCACCAGGCGGCGTTCTGTTTGCCTCCTCTGGAAAGCGTGACACGTCTGTCAAGCCCGAACCTAGTGATGACAGTTTGTGGCGGCAACCTGTGCCTACCACATCTACCTTGGCAGTAACGACAAGGGCAGTGGCGGTTATGCCAAGTATGACCAGGCTCCAACAAAAAAGAACTCTAACTCACACAAAGAAAAGGTATTGAAGCTTAAGCACTCTGAGCACTCTTACTCTCTATTCTCTTTGAGATTTTCCCCAGTTCTAACTTAGACATCGGAGTGTTCCCACCGAGATAACTCCCCGGAACCTTTAACTTTCTCCTTCTTCTTAGGTGTCATTCTTTCCAGTTAGAAGCCAGGTCACAGCTAGCTAGGAGTGCCCAGATCGTGCAGCATCATTTGGCGTCGTCTGTGGGAAACGCTTCAAAAAGCCTCCCTTTAATCTCTGCGAAACTTCCCTCTTTTGCTCACCAGCACCACTGACACCCATGGCTTCTTCTAGCAACTCCGAACGCCGGAGCACCCCAGAGGAGCAACTCCAACTACCCACCGTTTGCATTGGGCAGTTCACTGTCCCCCTCTCTGCGGATGGGATTCCTAGCCTGAACGTGCCCGTAACGGTGGCACCCGTAACCGTCCTGCTGCCCCCTGCAGTCGGGATGACCTCCGCTAAACCCACCGTTCTCCCTCCGGTGGTTGACCAAGGCCAACTCGAAGACTTGATGTAGTGCATGCGGGCCATGCAGGCCCAAATGCAGCAGTTCCAACAACTTCAGCTTCACCAGCAGCAAGTGCTGCACCAAGTGTCTCAGTACCAATATCAGCAGCAGTTCCCTTCACTCCCTCCCTGACATCTGGCGGCACAGCCAACCAAGCCTCAGCGCCGCAGTGAACTCCCTTCCCGATGGGGAGAAACTTCGGCATCAACTCACGGAAGGAAGGGAAGACTCCCTACCCCCGCCATGCGGTCCGCAGTCAGGTCGGGGGCTTCCCAGCCGATTAGGTTGGCGTCACCCCAGCACTCGCAGTTTGAGCCTCTGCTCGCGGAGAACCGGTTCGAGATGCTAGCCGACAACCTAGAGCAAGGTCCTTCTGTCAGTAGCTACCGGCAGCCATCCCTGCCTCCCGCTGGGCCCATTGAACTCAGCAATACAGAGGCCAGCAGCACCAACGTCGAGCCGGCCAAGAAGCAGCGAAGACGTCGCCGGGCCCGCCGGACTACCACCATCCTCAACCTGCCCGAGCTCAAAGGCAAAATAGAAATAAGTTTGGGAGGGGTGAGAGCCACACCACTTCTCTCGGTCCCCTCTCCTCTGTCCCCGGAGCTCCTCGCAGTCCCCATGCCCAAAGACTTCAAGCTCCCACCGTTGGAGAAATACGATGGGTCCTTCGACCCCAACGACCACGTCGACGCCTTCCAGTCCCAGATGCATCTGTCGAGGGCAAGCGAATCTTGCATGTGCATGGCCTTCTCCACTACGTTCAAAGGGGTGGCCCGCACCTGGTACCGAAACCTCTCGTCGGGCTCGATAAAGAGCTAGGCGCAGTTCATGGAGGTCTTTACCTCCCACTTCATCACTAGCAAGAGATGCCCGAGGACTCAAGAAAGTCTCCTCAGCATAGTTCAGAGGGAGGGGGAGTCCATCTGGAGCTATATCAAGCGGTTTAATGATGCTTGCTTACAGATACCCGATCTGGACCCTGCAGTTCAGCTTACGGCGGCAAAACGAGGTATCACCCACAGAGAGTTCAGATGACACGTGGTCGTCAACCAGCCCAAAACCGTGACTGAGTTCCTCGAGCTCGCAGATCTGTTCAAAGGAACAGAGAAGGAGATCAACCAGAAGGGCGAGCACGCCCCCGAAAAAAGAAAGAGGGAACCGGAACCCCCGGCTTCTAATGACTACTAGAAGAAGAAGGATCAAGCTCAGGGGGCACAACCAGTCCAACCTTTCCGAACAACAGTAGCAGAAAAGGTGTTTACACCCCTCAACACGAAGCGGGCCGAGATCCTCATGGCGATCAAGGATGCCCCGTATGTAAAGTGGCCACCTCGGCTCAAGGCCGATCCTAGTGCTAGGAACAAGAACTTGTATTGTAGCTTCCATAGAGATCACGGTCATAACACCAAAAATTGTAATAACCTCCGCGATGAGATAGAAGAGCTCATCTGTCGCGGATATTTGAGAAATTTTGTACAACATGGCAATAATAATAATAAAGCAGGTCGGCACGAGAGGCAGAATAAAGAAACCCCCGAGTCTAGCAGACAGGCGGAGCAGCCGCAGAGACAGCCTCCAGACGAGAGGCCAGTCCGAGAGACCATCCACGTAATCGTTGGAGGATCAATTGTCGTGGCCTGTGCCTCGGCAGCAGCTCGGTCATCAGCCCGCGAAACCGCCAGAGAAGAGTTAAACCCCTGGAAGCGGCCAAGGGTGGGGGAGTCGATCTTCTTCACTGAAGACGACGCGTGAGGAGTCCACTACCCCCACGATGACGTGCTCATCATCAAGATTAAGGTCAATGACTTCGAAGTCAAACGTGTCTTGGTAGATTCGAGCATCTTGGCAGACATCCTTTTCAAGGCGGCCTTCGATCAGCTTCAGATCCCAGAGGGTGGCCTGAAGCCCGCAAGCACTCCACTGGTGGGATTCAGCGGCGAGAAGGTTAGGCCGTTAGGGAATGTCACTGTGCCGGTGGAGGTTGGTACTTGGCCCAGTGTGGTAAGGCTCAATGACGAGTTCCTGGTGGTTGCAACCCCCTCTCCATACAACGCGATAGTAGGCTGACCCATCACCCACGTCCTGCGAGCAGTAGTCTCCACCTACCACCTAGCGATGAAGTTCCCTACGGGCTTCGGAGTCGTAGTGGCGCGTGGCGATCAGCTCGAGTCCCGCAAATGCTACGTAGCTGCCCTCAAAGGAAAGGCCAAGGTAGCTGACGACCTCGAACTGGGACGACCCGTAGAGCAGCCTACCAAGGAGGCCATCCCTATCCCGACTCGGCAGATGATCCAGTTCGGGTACTTCAAATTGGCGCTTCTATCGAGGAGCCCCTGCGGTCTCAACTGGTAAGCTTCTTGCTCGAAAACTTAGACATTTTTGCATGGTCGGCGGCAGAAATGCCCGACATAGACCCCAATGTTATCACTCATAGACTTAACACTGATCCTTCAGTTAGGCCCGTTAGACAAAAGAAGCGCAACCTAGCCCGAGAACGATGGAGGGCAGTCGACGAGGAGGTCGGGAAACTCCTTGCAGCCAATTTTATCAGGGAAGTTCATTACCCGAGTTGGGTAGCCAACCCCGTTCTGGTGAAAAAGGCAAATGGTAAGTGGTGCATGTGCGTCAACTACACCGACTTGAACTGGGCTTGCCCAAAAGATTGCTTCCCACTTCCCAGGATCGACCGCCTAGTGGACGCGACATCGGGGCACGAGTTGCTGAGCTTCTTGGACGCCTATTCGGGCTATAACCAAATAAAAATGGACCCAGTAGACAAGGAGAAGACCGCCTTCATAACCGAATTTTGCCTGTACTGCTACAAGGTCATGTCCTTTGGGCTAAAGAACGCTGGGGATACTTTTCAGAGACTTATAAATAAGTTGTTTGACCCACTTGTTGGCACAAAAGTAGAGTGTTATGTAGACGACATGGTTGTCAAAACCCAGTTTTCACATGAACTAATACAAGATTTGCACTCAGTCTTTGAAATCTTGCGTAAATTTAATATGAAGTTAAATCCGAATAAGTGCGTCTTCGGTGTCACCTCGGGTAAATTCCTAGGGATCATCGTCAATCGGCAAGGCATTGAGGTCAACCCGGATAAAATCAAGGTCACCTTGGAAATGAGACCACCCCAAAAAGCTAAAAGAGGTCCAGAAGCTAAATGGTCGATTGGCCGCCTTAAGTCGCTTTTTATCCAAGTCTACGGATCATTGTCTGCCTTTCTTTAAGGCCATTAAAAGCAAAGGCTTTGAATGGACTGAAGAGTGCCAGCTCGCGTTCGACGAGCTCAAAAGGCACCTCGCTAGCATCCCAGTCTTGACCCGGCCCGAAGTGGGCGATGTTTTAGAGCTGTACCTATCGACCAGTGACGAGGCGGTCACCTCGGTACTAATATGAGAAGTAGATTGGGTCCAATGACCTGTCTATTATGTTAGTAAAATGTTGCAGGGAGCAGAG